AAAAAAAAATCAAATGTGTTAATTAGTCAGAATACAACTGTGTTTTGTCACTAAGCATAAAAATCAAACGGTTGCATCTAAAATGATGGTGGATTTTTAGCTGTTGGTCAGAGTAAATGAGCACAAAACAACACTTCAGACTTCATAAAATGATTAAATGAATTAACCAGTAGTGAACATAGTTTTTTAATCGCTCAACCAAGTTGTGGACACAATGGGAGCTGACAGACTGCGTATAGACGGTTGACTCTAACTATTAGCCAGACTCCAGACAAAGGAGCACTTCACTCCCTCCAAGTCCTCATCTGAACTTGGAACGGCACTCGGTGGTTGCTTTTGAAAGAGGGCACTTGTTGTGAATGTGCTACAGTACTCTGGAGGGAGTGCAAAAACTGACAAATGCTCGCTTTAATTGAATGCGAGCGCAGATTTGGTGAGCTTGTTTTTTTTTTGCTTCAGAGGATCTCCGAAATCTTCAGATTGCGTGCAGGAATGCAGAAAGTTCTGTTAATTGTGTTGTCTGTTTATGGTGTTGTCGTATTGTTGTATCCATTTGATCGTCCTTGTTAAGCCAAAGGCAAATTTCCACTTCTGTGGACAATAAACTTCTGTTCTTTATGTAGGCGTGTGTGTGTGTGTGTGTGTGTGTTTGCCTGAGTGTGTGTGTGGCTGCTCTTCCCATCAAGGATAAATGTACGAGGCAGTGAAAGCAGATTTGGTTGAGGATAAAGATAGATGCAGAGAGAGATGGCTGATTACTTGCGCTGAATACTGAGGCGCTCACTTTCTTTCATCTCTATTACAGACTCTCAATTTCTCTCACTCTCTTTATTCAGCTCAACTTTATGGCTGCCTGAAGCTACTGGCCTCTTGTCACAGTGGCGGTCTGCTGTAATTGGCCTCAGCAGTAATGCAAGATGTGGGCAGACGGTCCTGGTCAAATTGTGGTGTCACCTGATCGCAGAACGTGGCCACTGTTCGGATTGTAGGATTCACAATGCATATTCTCTTTCTGTTTGTATTGATCAGATCTATAGCACCAACGTACCAACCTGTCATTAACGTGGTCTTTCCTCGTGGTCTACATAGCATAGTCGCACACGTAGCAGGCTTTTTATAAAACCAAACATCCTCCC